GGAACGAAGAGCCTGGCTTCCAATCCAATGTTGCGTTAGTCGGGGTCGGGATGTGGAGATTGGGAGTATCAAATCTATCGATATTTCCTCGAAGGAGGCCATTCCTTGGCATTGTCTTCGTAAACCATGCCTTCTCGGGTATGGTTTTCGGCAGTGGATATTTCTTCGCTTCCATTCCCTTGAGGCAATTGGTCCGCCACCACAGAGATGGGTCGTCGAAAAGTCTAAGCCCTGCTTGGCGATACTGGCCATTTGAATGCTTCATGTCCACAACGGGAACGAACGGCTGCTGCCTATGGTGAAGGGATTCTCCGTCCCTGATTTTCTGGATCCAAGAGAAAGGCATTGGCTACTCTGACATGGCACAACTTAAGGTTATTTCTAGATGTGAGCGTTGCGAGTCAAATCCCCAGTAGACCATGCAACCACTTTACACTCGGCCCACTAAGATCCACACTTCGGATACGCATACGATGAACCATAACCCCTTTAAGCATCTCAATCGTTCCTTTTTCCAGATCGGGTATAGTTTTCGAAGGTGTGCTTATAGTATTTTGGGAATTTTCTTTTGTTAATGGCCCAGAATATGTGGCAGGGACACTCGTCGACCGTTAAATATAAGGTCAATGACCTTCAGTCAAATAGTTTATTCGCGATAGCGATTGGTTCACTTGAAGAAATATAGGGCAACATGACAGCACTACAGCCTCGCGACGGCTTCAAACTATTCTACTATGATCCATCCCTTGCAGCAGCAGTAATTTTCATAATCTGTTTTCTGGCAACGACAATATTACACACGTACCAGCTTTTTCGAACGCGAACGTGGTTCTTCATACCGTTCCTGTTAGGTGGTTACTGTATGCATCAGTCTAAATTCTCCCTCGACCTGAATGCTGCAGGATTGGGCTAATTTGAACTGCAGTTGAATGGATAGGATACGTTGCACGTGCCGTGGCCTGTAACCAAACGCCCAACTGGACACTGGGCCCGTACATTGTACAAGCCGTGCTGACACTGGTGGCACCAGCCTTGTTCGCGGCGAGCATCTACATGGAACTGGGCAGAATGATCGTCGTCCTTGGTGCAGAAAAGCACAGCATGATCCGCGTCAAATGGATGACCAAGATCTTCGTTGCGGGAGACGTCCTGTCATTCCTCATGCAATCCGCAGGTAAGACGCACAATGACAACATGTACTTTAACCACTCAACTTACGCGCGGCTCCAGGAGCTGGACTAATGGGCGTGAAATCCAAAATCTCCGAGAATGGCCCACACATTATCGTTGGCGGTCTTGTTGTCCAAATCATCTTCTTTGGCTTCTTCATGATCTCATCCGCGGTATTTCATATGCGTATTAACCGTGATCCCGTCGCGGATGGTGCGTCTGGCTTCAACTGGCGACGACTACTTTATGCCCTCTATGCTGCCAGTGCCCTGATTCTGATTCGTTCCGTCTTCCGTCTTATTGAGTACGCGCAGGGGAATGGGGGGTATCTGGTCGCGCATGAGTGGTTCATGTACGTGTTCGATGCGTTGTTAATGTTCGGGACGATGTTGATCTTCCATGTGGAGCATCCCAGTGAGCTAAACGCGTGGTTGAGCGGCAGTGGCGTTGTCTGTAGGGGGATAATTCGGTTTGAGAGGATTGGAGGGAGTGGCATGATGATGTCCTAGTTCATTACTTAGCATGTCTTGAAGCAATACATAATTAGACCATGTCACCCTGAACAAAAGCCATTCTTGTTCTTATGGGAGATGCCCTGTAAGACATTGTCCTATCCAACATCCCACCAACCGAAGCACGACCCCTAGGAAACTCAAAGATGGCTACTGTTAATAAATCAACTTTCCAGACATGTGAGAATGAAGACGTATTAACCACCGATGAAGTTTGGCCGACCACTACTAGTCTTGTGTTCAAGCTTGTAGATATTGATCATGACGTGCCACGCCACCTCATACATCTAGGTAATGTGGTTGACATCAACGACCTGGGTAGTTTTATCGTTAACCCCATTGGACTAGTTCCACACAATTTGCTGGCCATAGAGCCTAAAACCCGGCACCTGAATTCCTACTTCAAGAGATGGCCCACGGAGGCACTGATCCACGACACCTTCGTTGGGTTGCTAGAGTCGGGCGAAGTTCGCGTCAATCGGATTTATGAAATCCACACCCTGAAGATAACTAGCTTCGTGCCAAGTTCTTCCATCCTTGCTCCACTCAATGAACAACCCAGCGTTATCAAGGCAATTGAGCAAAGCCGATCTCGGTGTGTCTATGTCATAACTGGGGTGGCGGAGGTAACTGGCATAAGTGCTCATGTCTCGGACTGTCGGCTCAGGGGGTATGACCCCACTATCAGGACCTCTCTGGTTATCCTCGATGCAGGACGTTACACTACAGAGTACGTTTGCCGCTCGTTCTGCGAGGCTGATCCAATTGCTGTTGGGTATAGCCTACACTGTCTGAGGCTGGAGGAGTGTCGGGTTATTGCGGAACCAGTCACGGCTTCATCTTTTCCCAAGAAGATGGATTTCTTTGAAATTGTGTAGGATTAGAGCTCGAATAATATGGAATAAAAGGTGTCGCGGGCATTATTCAAAACATTGCAAGAGATACCCTGCTCGGACCAAAGGATTGCAACAAGTGTCAGCAACCCCAAATCACACCCCGAAACTTAAGATCATTAAGATATCATAGTAGAGGCCGTCGGAAAGTGCCGATGGTAGGGTATGTTGAAATAGTTAGATTCCAAGGGCAACTTGATTGAGATGGTGACATGTCTGTCGGACAAATATGTGAAGGTTGGCGTTGAGTGGTATGGTACGTGGGCAGGCAATGAAAGCCATGAGAATTAGGGTTATTCCCCCCAGCTAGCATCTGGTATGCCCTGATACTCCTGACTAACTATAGATTCAAACCGGCATGTTCACGAATATTCTAGTATCTGAGGCTATATTTTCAATTGCGTTTGTCTTGAGCTCATTATGCATCCCTGTCTCGACCAACATTGAACTCGTGCATCCGAGGTTTCATCAGAAGGCTCCAAACCCTACGAGCCACTAGCAGGATCTCAAAAAGAACTGCTGATTGTCATTATCATCGTCCTTCCTGCTGAAGGTGATGGCTGGAGTCAGATCATCGGTAGTTTTCTGGAAGATATCGATCACCTTGTGTGGGAATGCAACACTGGTAATACTGTTTTGAAACGATGAAATTAGTCCAAGCAAAGAGAATACCCTCGGACGGTAGTTATAATAGTCAACTTACAAATACGCTCCACTGTCATCCTCCGCAGGTTCAAGCCTCCAGCGAGCTTCGTCTCTGAAAGGAGAAACAAGCTCTGCAGTAATTTGCTCCCCGTTATCGGCTAGAAGTATATACATTAGTATAGCTGCTGATTTATTAGGAAGGGTCTTTAGTCATACAGGCTGTCAGGTAGGTACCACTGGTGGCACTGATGATAAGGTACTGGTCGCCAAAAACAGATGCGAAGAGAAACTTTTTATTTTCAGTCAGAACTTGCTCACTGTAGATACTATTAGTTGCTGCTCACGTAGGACTGTCCAGTAGTACAGGGTGACATACTTGATCCGCAACCCTAAGCTATCTTCGCTACTGCCCTCTTCCAACTCAAGTACTTTGTCCTCCGCATGGCGGGGGATCACAACATAACTATCGGGTCCGTCGAAGTCACTCATGATGATGATAACTTTTAGACAATATAACAAATGAAATCTGGCTTTGTGTTGATTCTAAGCTGAGAGTATGAGCTGAGCGATTTGTGAAAAGGTGATTTCTGGGAATGGACAGCAGTCATTTATACCTTAGTTTCGAATGAGGATCACGGTTTCCCGCCAGGAAGGTATTGAAAGTTATCTCTTTTGGTTCAACTCGTCGGGTAAACTGAGTACTGCATGAAGGAGTTCCATTGGGCATCACTCCAAAGCTAATATTAGCTCTGGATATAAAGTTTTCTTGCGTGATTTCTTTCTTCCACGTGCAGATCCTATGATGGACCAAATCACGCAAGTGACAGGTGCTGTTCACTAATCCAATTGACTATTGCTTCTATATCTTCCTAGCCAATAGGTAGACATCAAGAGCAACACGTTCTGATTCCTTATGATGTCTCCGTCAGCAACACTTCCACAGAGCGTCACTCCCATGAGTACTGAATCCCACTATATCTCGCCAGAGTCAACATATACATCGATCGCCGGGGAAGATACGTGGCTCCCTCGAATTCGAGCTGTGGATATGCCGATGTCTGTCCGTGCTGTATACCGATGTGGGCCATAGGGATCGCTTGGCCAGTAGGCCTTTGCCCTCCGCAATTTGATGCATAGCAGAAGCACCAAGACAAAGCATTCTATTGGCTAAGGCACCTTACCAGGTGGCCTTGCTGCTGTTAGATTGTCTCGCTTACTATGGCGGGGCAAAAAAGATCGTATATCATTTCCTTTTGACAAAACCTTATCAGCTGTATAAAGTAAATAATACGACCATCTCAGTACTCGACGCAAGCCACAATCCACACTAAACATACCAGATCCCACCAATACACCTTATTATCCATCTCAGCTACGCCCGCAGTCATTTTTAGCTCATCGTCATGAAGTGATGACCCCTCCTCGAGAAGGGAAACTCTTACTCCCACACCGACATCCTGATCTCGGTAAGCAATATTCAGCTTACCTCTTTGCCAGCTGCAAATACATACCCCGCTCGTTTGAGCCAAGGCTAAACACCGGCTGTACTAGCGAAGCCTGTACCAGTCGGCAGTAATTGACAAGGCAAAGAAATGGTCTATGCTCAAGACGATCGGTCGTAGATCTAGCAATCATATTGCAATTTACCGGGGTCAGCCTGCTAAATGTGTGCCATTGAGACAACGAAGTTTAATTTCCGATCATGTGATTCTACACGTGACTCGTAGCCCTCATAGGTCTTGCAACCCTCAAGAAAATCGACCACGGGAGATTGAAAACTATGGTATGCGACATGAGAAGCACTTCTATGATACAATCAAGGAGACATATCCCGCATGGCCTCCGTACACAGCCAATCCAGCTCCACCATCATATCAGGATCAATAGGAAACCCACTTCCCGCCGGGTCAAACGCGCGAACTTCGTCCTCGCCGATAGGTACGCTGGATTCACGTGGACCAGGATCAGGGTCAGTTGATATACGAGGCTTCTTCGAAGTTGGAAAGCAAGACTGTGACCGACTTTGCGACTGAGACGCCGCCCGCTTCGCGGAATTATACGAACGGACCCGCGATTCCCATCGTCGCTGGAGACTGATCAAAAAGTTCTGTGCTCTCTTGGCACTCTCCCATGATATCCCGAATTCTTCCAGTGCTCGAAAACAAACGCTAAGATAGGCTGATATCTCATGATCTCCTTCAGTTTTGAGACTTGCTATCGTGGCAAAGATTAGCATTAGGGCTGCGGAGCAGGTGATAGAGACAGCTTGCACGTTCATGCGACGGAAGGTGTATTGGGTTTCGTAGAGATGCAGAAGCTGCGAGATAGCGATTGCGGACTCAATGCACATCTTTCGGGCGTGGACGTGGCCTGGGCCTTGGGGCGGTTGAGGTTGGATGTATCGCTTCGAGATCCATGGGCGGTGGGCGTGGATGATGGTTTGGTGATATTGCATGCTGGTTTGCAGGTCAGTATACGTAAATAAGAGCTGGAATCCGACTTGCTTACTGGAGAAGTATGATGTGAGGTAGAACAGGGCCGTCTGTATGCTCGAGATCGATTTGCAGAACTTCGGGAAGGTTGGCTTTCCATTTTAGGAGTCGGTCTGTTGTGTTCTCATTCAAACCCTGCAGGATACGTTTTGAGACCCGGGAGCATCCATAGCTAGACAGGTTAGATTGACAAATTTAGAGACTCCAGTCTTTATAGGTGTGGCTTACAGGACATGGCCCAGAGGAGTCATGATCTCACAAAGCTGAATCCGGTGTTGGCTAAGAAGGTCCACAGGGTCTGGCACGGGAGCTGCAAGAGAAGCAGGTGGTGGAGACGGAAGACCATATGGAACCCATTTGCGGTCGTGCTCTCTCGCCTGATGGCGGCCAGGCTTGTCGACAGTGACATCCTCCATATTGATACGGACTGGTCGGCCGAGAAAAAAGCCCCAGAGACTTATAGAAAAACGGCATCAGTAAGCACAACCAAGAATTGAATAAGATGTCGGCTTACTGGTCCACAGTGTAAGTCCCCCAAAACACGGTGCGGCGGAGCTCCGCCTCGGTTGCTTTAACCGACCCTTCAGTCACATAGTGGGCCGTGTCAATGTGTAATCCCAAGTCAAAGGCCAAGCGCATGGCCATGCCTATGCTAGAATGTTAACCATGGACTTCAGTGGCTGATGGTTGGATGCTTACCGCTGTAGAGCCACCCTCTGGAATTTCTCTTGCATCCAACATCGTGTGCGCTTAATACAACCATCGCCTGAATAGTCGCCAGAGTAGGCGAGTCCAGCTCAATCTCGAGTAGTGCCTTCGCTCGGTCAGCGAAGAAGTCGGAAACCGATCTAGGATAGGTGATGAAGTCGGGATGGTATCGCGGCTCGAATGCCGCTCCAAGGCAGCACCTTCGAAAGTTAGTCAGAAGTGACCCTGTTATGCCGGTAGGCTCCAACTACGAAGTTCTTACATGGCGTTGGTTAGGGCCTCAGAGTAGTACGGCGTTTCCTCCATTTTCCTGCGCCACTGTTGCCTCGCTGATTCGTACATCTCCCTATCGACCACTTGGAACAAGGGGTTATGCCAAGTAAAATAGAGGTTGATAAGGTGCTCCTCGAACCCCGCTGGAATCTCTTTATTGACGCCCAGGCGATCCAACACATCAGGTCCGTCTTGTCGAACTGTACGATGGATAGTTAGATTGTCTGGAGTGGGCATCCTTAGCAGATTAAAGTGGGACGTTGGGCCGTAGTAGCGAACATGGCCATCGGACCCGATCTGCAGGCTCCCCATCCTGTCAGATAACTGGTTCACTAGCTCCTCTACGCCTTCACTATCACTGAGATTGTCGTCCTTAGTAGAAGTGTCATGTTGGCATCTCGGCTCATTGCTTAGTAGCTGTTGGATGGACAGCGGCAGTCGCGTCACATTAGGACGCGGTTGTGCTATTTTCTTTCGAGTGCCATTTCCACTGTCTGAGTCTTTGGTTTGTGATGGAGGGTCGTTGATCTCGCATGGTCCCCCTGTTGGAAATTCTGTGTTTATCTCAACAAAGGTGTCGTCACTGCAGTCTTGGAATAAGGAATCGTCTGACGTTGCTGGTAGAGAGGCAACGGTTTCGGGACGACCTGGACCCTGTGGAACGTCGTTGGTGAGTTCCGAGAATGACATCAAGAATAAGTTCGGATCTATAAGATCAGGGTTCAACTCCTCGACGAAGGGTTGCTCCCCTTCACTATCCGTTGGTTGGCCCTGATTAGCCTTCGGGTCCGAGGCATTACTGGGGCTGTTCTCGGATCGTTTCAGAGCCGACTGCACATCTTCCATTCCACGAGTCTGTAGTAAATGCCGTAAAGCAGAGTCATCCTCGTCAGGCATTTTCGGGGGTTGAAGCCCCTGGTCATTAATGAATTGGCATAGTTGCCCCACTCGATTGACCAGAAGATCAACAGCAAGTCGTAGCGAAAGCCTAGAGAGGTCACATTTATGCATATTAGCGAACTAGCGAATGGCGAACGATTGATCGGGAATTAATGGGGCCAGTGTCCTCCCAGCCTCACCCACAACAGGAAGAAGTTGCTACTTAAAGTACGTACTTTCGCTTATCAACTCCCAGCTGGTAATGGCATGATTTACCTTTAATCTTGCAGTGTGAGCAAATGGGTTTGGTCCCGTCGCACTATTCTCGTGAGTCCCGACACTACCATAACTGACTGGATTTGAACCTGGAATCAGGTTTCCGGGCATACGAACCTTGATTTTACTCTCGCGACAGGCTAAGCAGGCCGTTGTAACATTTTTACGCTTGTTTGACTGCTTTGTGGGCTTCATATTGCAAGCTCCATAGGGTTTCAATCCGTTCACTAAATGGTTTGAAGGTATGGAGCGAAGAAGTTAAAAAGGCTGAAGATGTCTGTTCTCGGGATTCTGTATCCGGGGCTCGGCAAGTCCCCCGCGGCCCCGCTGCCGATTTCTCGGAATCAAATGAGATCGTATCAGATCGACTCCGCAGCACTTTGGCTTACAGATGCAACATTTAAATATACCATGTCGGTTATTATTCTAGAATTTCAGTTCACTCTCCTTAATAGTTAGCGTTCTATCTCTAGGGAGACTTTGTAACCAGCGGTTACATGCGGTGATACCTTCGGGTGTTGAAATATTCTTTATTTTACATGAATCGACCATCGTCTGCCTTGGAGCTAAAATAGAGGACGGGTATGAGAAAGGAAAGGGGGAGACGAAAAGCAACCGAGCATTCGAGAAAGCCGATGGCCAAGAATAGCGAGGCTGTACTGCAATCCTTGGCTGAAAATGCCATGGTACTACTAGTAGATGTATACACAATGAGATAGGGTTAATAAACTACTACGGAGTACTAACTATTCCTATGACGACCAACGCATTTGGTCCACTCTAGCGTACTATTCCAGATCTGGTCGAATGTGCCGCTGAGATCCAAATCGACTGAAAATTGTAAAGTTTGCCAAGTACTTTAGGGCTGATCTCGTGGCGGAGCAATATCTCATCTCGTATAGCTCACTAGACTAATCACACAATGGAAGGTTCACATTGGTTCATCTAAGGCGCAGGGCTGAGCGGTACCTTGGCGTATTCCACGTTTATTTCCCCATGCCACCCCATTGGGAGCTTGAGGCCCGGTACTAGGGTTGTGAGCTGGATCTTCAGCCCGATGGGGCGCCCTAGTAACGTCAGAATACAAACTTGCGGTTGGGCTTCAACCTAACGACTATAAAACTCCCAATATCCAGTTGTAAGTCATTGGGATTTCCATCTTACTTCTACACTTGACATAATACTAGAACGACGAAACATGACTTTTCTTCTATTTCTCGGCTTAGCCGTCATATCTGCGAGCTTAGCCTCGCCTGTATCCCAACCCCTTCCCACAGCTATCATTGATTCCGGGGCGATTGTCGGAACAACTACATCCTTTCCTTCCTCCACCGCCATCGTCAGAAAATACCTTGGAGTTCCGTTCGCTGCACCACCCGTCCGCTTCAGCCCTCCAGAGCCGGTTGAACGATGGTCGACGTTCTACAATGCGACACAATGGGGACCATCCTGCATCCAGCAAATCGGCCAAAGCGGCAAGGAACTCTTTGGTATGCTAGACCTACCCCCTCCGGCAAACGGAGAAAGTGAAGACTGCCTGAATCTCAATGTGTTCACCCCCGAATCTGCGTCGGCGGGATCTAAGGCTGTTCTTGTTTGGTTCTACGGAGGGTCATATCTAAATGGCGCTACATCTGTCAATCTATATGACGGCGCCAGTTTTGCTGCCAACCAGGATGTCGTGGTAGTTACTGTCAATTACCGGACCAACTTCTTTGGATTCCCTGGAGGTGATGTTCCCGCCACGGAGCGGAACCTTGGGTAAGCATTGAATATTCTACAGTGCATCACAGGACACGAATTTAACCAGATACCCTTAGTTTCCTCGACCAACGTCTTGCCTTAGATTGGGTACAGCGCAATATCGCCGGGCTAGGCGGCGATCCGTTCAAGGTGACCATATTCGGGGAGAGCGCGGGAGGTGGCAGTGTTGATGCTCTGATCACAGCTCCACCAGACCCAGCTCCGTTCCATGCAGCGATTATGCAGTCCGGTCAAAGCTCCATCAGCATGCCCCTGGGCGGTGGCCCCGAGAAATACGCAGAGTCGTGGAAGAAGCTAGCGGAATTTGCGAACTGCCCTTCGGACAATGCTCTTGAGTGTCTCCGAAAGGCCCCTGCTCTTGAGCTCAAACATTTCGCTGAGAACGCCAGCCTCTCTTTCGGCCCGGTTCCAGACGGCGGCGTTACCTTATCGGCCACACCTCGTCTTGATCGTCTCCACTCATCAGAGGGCAATTCTTCCATCGCTCGAGTCCCCATTCTCATCGGGAACAATGCCGACGAACCGAAGCCTTACATCCGAGGCGTTAATGACACAAAGGCATACCTCGAGACTCTTGGGCTGGGCGAATATGTTGACATGATTTTGAAAGCATATCCGTTAGGACAACCAGGGACCCACAACGAGAATGACCGACTCTCCCTGATCGCTACCGATCTGCTTATGACTTGTCCCTCTAAGGTCTTTGCCGAGGACAGTGCCAAAGTCGGTATTCTGTCGTATAGGTACTTTTTCAACGCCAGCTTCCCCAATAACGAGGCTTTCCCGGGGAGCGGGGCGTTCCATGCGGCGGAAATTGCTTTTGTGTTCGGTACTTATTCCAAGGAAAACGCCACTCAATTTGAGCACGAAGTAAGCCAGGCCATGCAGAAGGCGTGGGCGGATTTTGCGAAGGATCCAAGCCACGGCCCTGGATGGGATCAGGACCCTATAATTGGGGTATTCGGTGATGGGGTGAAAGCTGGCATGAGTGATGAGGGAAAGAAACCGTTGAATGTAGTTGACTCTGCGGCCATGGACAGAAGGTGCGAGCTTTACAGGCCGTTATATGATCAGCTGCTACTTTCTGGTTCTTCATAGAAGGACTGGAAATACCACTAATGCAGGAGATATGGCAAAGGGGGGCATATGACTTACATATATAAACTACGGGATACATCATACATCAGAGTGGCACGCATACCTGGCAAGCAAAATCTCAGAATACTAGATTGGAAGTGGTTATAGAGCTTAACAGCAATGTAGTCGGCACAGTACCAGTGCATATAGTGCGGACTTCAATAAATTGGGCGATTATGTCCGGTACAATGTGTATCGTGTAGTCTTTTCCCAAAATAGATCAATTAGCAGGACGAAGTTGAACGCAACGTCAAATATGGAAAGCAATGTTGTCATTCGTGCACACACGAAATCTTGCATTGATTGTAAGCTTCATTAAAAAACCCCTTTTATTGAGCGTATAACTCGGAAAGTAGTTGATTCTGTTGCATCGGCTTATACAACAGCCTGGATACAAAGGAACACGCCAGGTTTCAATCAAGTTGCTATAGGGAATATTATTTCGCTCTAGGTCTAGAGTACAGTAGTATAGCAAGATACCCGGGATAGTAAATTAAAAGGGAGCCTTAGCTTAGAAAGAATAAAGAAATCTCAACAACTTTTCGACCACCACATTGTCACCTTCCCCTGTCGCCGTGGTGTTCGCCAATTGCTGCTCCCTTCTCCACTTTGCGGCGTTGATGCCGTATATTAGAATGGCAAGCGAGATTGCCTAGATGGGTCACATAAGTTAATTGTATTGGTTTAGCCAGGGTTGACAATGGCGGATCGCCTCAAGTGCAAGCGCAGTAGAAGTGCCTCTATTCCCCAATCGCAGGTTTTTCGATGCATACTGATACAAGGTTCCCATCTCCCACCCGCCATCTATTTCTTGCATGGACAAGAGCTGCTTGAGTCCTCGAACATCATGAATCCCAGTCTGGTGGCAAACAATTAGGCGCATCGCTAAACTTGCTGCATCTGTCGGAATACCAACGCTCTTTTACCCGTTCAATGAGAAGGGCCCGCATACGTTTATAGACGACAGGCGACGATCCCTTGAGACGCAGCAAGAGACGGGAAAGGAAGAACAAAAATGCTTCAGGTTCAGGGTAGTAAGTGGTTCCGTGGATATAGGCGTGTCTTTGCAGAACCTGACCGACCCAACTGAGGGTCTCTGAGAGCTGATGGCCCCGCCCGTATTGATAGAAGAGACTCAACACGTTGCAGCACACGACCGGATCAACTCGGTTCTTGAAGTCGGAGAAGAATGTCTAATGACACAATTGCATTAGTCTCCCCGACACGCATACATTTTTCGATAGCCTCTTACCTGAATGAGACGGTCAGGAGTTCGATACCGAAGCATCATATCCATAACAAGATTGGCTATGTGAGCAGGGCGCTGGAGGATGGTAATCCCCAGTGATGTTGTGTCCAGATCATCAGGGAAACTGGTTGGTGTGATGACAGGAGGGCCTACTATTATTAGCTTGAGGTTAGCGAGTGTCAGAGTGTGAGATGCACACACCAATAAAAAATTCCATGTAGTGAGATGCGTTTCAAGATCTACCAAACTTCTTCTAGAGGTTAGCGTTCGGCACAGAGTATTTGGACTTTGACCTACCGGTCGCCAGTGAGCTCCAAGATGAGCAACTGCGCGAAATTTTCCTTCACGCTTATCCCAGTATGCGTAACCGAAGAAAAGTTCTGGGCGTTGTCCTTTAGAAACTTGGTACCTCTTGCAACAGGATCAACATCGAAGAGATTGAGGAGAAGACGGGAAACTGAGTTTTCCGAAGATAAAACACCTTGCAGTCCCATAGACATTGCTGCAAGTATATTTTCAGTGTCATCATCTACCAAGATAACTTGCTCAGGCTTCAGATGTATGTGATCCAAAACGTGCCGATAGAACCTCAGCTCAGGCTTTTGCATGTTCATCTCGCTCGAAACAAAAACCCGTTCGAACAGGGACCAATCGATTCCAAGACCTTTGACTAACGCATAGTCCTCCCGAGATAGGTTGGTCATGGCATATAATTTACACCTACTTCCAAACCGGCTCTTTATTGAAGCTAGAAATTCCAAAGCTGTCGCCTTCACTTGATATGTATTCCGTACCGCTGTGAAAGATGCCTCAATCTCTTCCTGCGAGTGGCCAAAGTCGACTGCCAGCCGTGCAAAGTATTGCTCTTCTGTAAGGCGACCACATTGGTACTCCACAGTCGCTGAACAGAATAAGATAGATTGGAAGGTATTCAGCGGCAGTTGGATATTGTCCAACGAGGAAGTTAGGATAAAGTTCTTTAGTTCGAGCAGAAGCCCTTTGTAGTACATCCGGCTGGCCATCCTGGTCATGTTGCCGATGTCGTGCTTACAGAACCATTCATAGACTTGACTCTTTTATAAATACATGAGCCACATCATATTTGGTATCAGGCAATCTCAGTCGGTGGGTCACATTTTGGCTAATCGTGTGGCGTCCTGCATTACTCCACATCGGCTTCTCCTTCGAGATCCTCGCTGAGATGTATCCTTCACACTATAACCATCTAACTCGTAGATAAAGGATCCTAACAATCACTTCCAGATGGGTCACAGCACACTCTCGTTATCATCAGATTGTTAAAGATCCTCTCACAATACATGCCATCTAGTCAGGGCATGTGACAGTGATACGAAGGCCCCATATCAGATCCTTGTAGAATGCTAGATCAGGCGAGAAACCACGCACTAAGAATCCCGTTTGCCACTTTCAGGCGACATCCAGTGGGTCCTGGACTATACCTAATTCCCCATGAGGTATGGTCTACATAAACTACTCCACTCGCTTTTAATGATTTGAGAAATTTGTATCATTACCGCGAATCCACTTCTTGGGGCTGAACAACCCCTGTGCTGCAAAAACATTCTCGATATCTTCAACAAACATTGCCTCGGTTGAAGCTAAAATTGGGGATAATTAAAAGCTGGGTGTTATCCCCCTTGCTGAAATGTGCATTGTAATACACGAAAAGAATCAGTACTGTATAGGAGTATACAGGCCGAGATACGTTTTAGATAGTACATAATACATATCACTGGCTAGTGTAGGTATCTACCTGGCTATCAAACAGCCAAAGTTGCTGGTAGTCAGTCACGAAAGGTCAATTCTTACTAAAATGGGTTCAGTTTCTACCAAAAGTCATACTAGAGTGCCCTCCCATATGACTCCGTCGATTTTCATCTATATATGTCCCAGTTAGCATACCAACAGCCCCAATTTCAATACCCATCTCATTATGTACGCTACCTCCAACTCTAAACATTATGTAGAATCAGAGACCGGGAAATGTGTGAGGCGTGTATGTTATGGAATGTATCCAATTTTCGCCTTGAAATGTAACCCTTTTTTTATACTGTATAGTCGTTGCGCGGGTACATGTACCCGGATAGGATACACCAGGCATAATCACGCAATGTCAGTTTTTCCCTTTCGCATTTTGCAATAACTCTTTTCCGTTCTAGGACATGTAAATTGAGTCGGCCCCTGATGGCAGTTTAAGTCGGCATTTCCTAGCTAACTTTGCATGATGGCCACCCAAGCGCTGTATATCGTCGGCGACCTCATTGGCACCGGAACATGATGCACTCGCAAGCTTTTCTATAGTCTGATACAGCTATGAGAACTGAAAATTGTAGTATTCCCATGTTTTTATTATTCTTTGCCACATGGTGTATTCAGTCATGCCTTAGTAACCTATCCTTCCTGCTCCGAAAAAAAAGCTAGGAACATAGCTGCGATGTGAAGACAACTTTCACCACATCCATTGTGCGTCCCCCCGTTCATAGGACTAAACCATGTACAACTTCAGATAAAGTAGCCATAAAGACCTATTGGCTGAGTCTCTCCGATATGTGGACATGGAAAGCATCAGATCGGGTCCATACACTACACCTAGCCGACTCGGGAGCATGTACCCGAGTGTGGAGATGGAGACTGCCGAATCACTGAGTATGCTGGATTTGCTGTGCCTTTGCCGGAAAGACATTGAAGGACAAAAAGAGAAGGCCAGAAGAAAATTTTCTCCTTTAAAAGCCTTCGCAGAGGCTTACTGTCTGTCCTTGAGAGTGGGACATACGCTATTTAAGCAGTTTTATACACTCTCTCGAACCAGTATCAACAAATATGCCACGCCGTTCACTGCTGAACAGCTGTTCTGCGCCCAAGATATTGATTGAATTTGCCAACCCTCGGGGAAGCTATACCACAGGGGAACGAATCAAGGGAACAGTGACAATTACTGTGGACACTGAAACCAGGTTCGGCGATGTCAATATCAGCCTAGAAGGTACGCACCGGTCTTGACTATCATGTTTGAACACCAGACTGACCCTGAGTTTTATAGGCTTATCGCGAGTGAACTTGTTACAACCCATAGCCACACAGCGAGAAACAGGTGCCTCTCATACATTTATAACGCTCTGCCAACCTGTTGCCGAAGCAAACTGCCCGGCTTCAGGTGTTTTCAGGCCAGGAAAAACTTATCGATTTCCGTACACATTCATCGTTCCCGAACGGGTACCTCTGAAATCGTGCAACCATAGAACAACTCACACGGGTATCAAACAGGCACACACAGCAGCCCCGCCCACGCTGCATTTGAAGACCTTGTCGCAAAGCCTGTGTGAGATCTCCTATCTCATTCGTGTTACCGTGCGTCGTCAGAATCCAAACAACAATGCAAAGCCATACACACTAGCTAGCTGTACGAAACCCTTGCATCTCGTACCTGCCCATGGGGAAGGGGATTCTTTAGGCTGGCCTGAGAAGCAGGACGTGTACAGGTCCAGTGTTGTGCAGGAAGTTAAAGGTCAATGGAAAGGACAGGCGCTCGGTCGACTTGAAGCAGTGGCATCTATACAGCAGCCAATCCAGGTTCCCCCAGGACGTTCTCCAATCGACAGACTGATTATCCATGTCGGGCTGCACCTTCGGTTCGATCCTGTCAGAGACACACTGCCACCCAGGCTTGCGAAGATACACCCTACCCTCAAACAGTCCACTCTGTTTAGTACACAACCGCAGGAAGATTTTCCAAGCCTCGATAGGATAATCTCTGACCAAATGTGTCGAGGGGCGCACGTTCAAGTCTGCTCTCTTCCCTCAACGGCTATCTCATCCATCAGATGGACGAAGCATACGTTACCGCGTCATTCGGGGTCTTCCGGCTCCGTAAAGGACTCTACACCCTTTCGTACCTCCACCCCTGGATGCTTTTACACAGCATCGGCCATGGTTCCAATCACCCTGCCGACCAACCGCGACCTTGTGCCAACATTTCACTCATGCCTTCTCTCTCGTATCTACGCTCTTGAACTTCGTCTTTCGTATCATATGCCTGGTGCGCCTATACTGCAACGAGCGGTCGCATTAGAAGTACCTGTTAAAGTTGTCAGTGTACGTATGCTTGATAAGAGCAGCGATACCCTCCCGAACTACAACTCGATTACAGAAGAGGAGCCCTCACACATTGTTTCTCGGCCTATGCCACGCTCTCTTGAACGCAAAACATGGGATATAGAGAATCCCAAGAGTGCTCTAGGAGACTTAGGTTTGCTACCATCTTCTGAGTGGCAAGAGGCATACGCACCGCCGAAATACAACGATGTTGTTGCACACTCAGCGAAGTGGCTATAGCCACTTCTTGTGGATAGATGACTCCTTGTGAATAGCTTTTGTGTGAGCGGTTGCAGAGGGTTTGAACCTGTGTTGGGAGTCAACAGAGTGGATTTGAAAAATGTGGGACAGTCTCATGTGGGTATATAACTATACCTCTATAGGAAGGAATTTAGCCTGCTAACTCTTGAGATCATTGATTCTGGCGTCAAATTTAAAAGCCTGAATCATGACGGTCATGACGTTGTACCCAATAGTGTTGCTCTATACGTACCAGTCGCAGGATTGAATTAACGTTAGATAGTACTCAGCTATAAAAGTCAATGAGCATATGGGCTATGAATGAGTGAAACATTACAAAAGCGGCAATATTTCAGTTATAGCGAAATAATATATCCCACAGGCATCCTGTTTCTGGCCATTAAAAGCACAAAAGGGTTTTGCAGTTTTGGCCAAGATCTATTGGTTTCCCCTTCAGGGCATCGCTCGGTGTTGATGCGCTCACCCTTCAAATCCGTAAACATTGGCTTTAAGGAGGGAAGTGGTGATTGTCACATTGACCCATGGATTGGATATTATAGAGTGAGTCTGTTGTCAGCCTCACTAAGAAAGTCCAATGATTCCGGGCTTCTCTCGTTGCGGATCGAATGAAAATCACTCCTGCGAGGATGATGCAACACGTGCCAATGTATCATGCGTCGTAAGCAGGAGTCCGGCGTCTCAAGAACCTGTTTCTTTGCATTACTACTTCACGAGCCCGATGGTTGGCTTAGAGTCGAATAGCACAGTTAGACAAGGAAGAGATGCCACGTACGAGTAAGGTAGATGTCCTTCAGCGTACAAGCCACACGTAGAGATGGAGCGAATAAACAACAGTAAATCGCTCATAGAAGCCATCATGACATCGGAGAAAGTGTCTACCCAGCAATCGCGTTTTTTCCACTTATCAATCAGTTTCAGCCTCTTCGTATCCAACACTTCCCCTCTCTATCGCGCAATCATTTTAGCCTTGTTAGGGCTTAGCTGCAGAAATGCCGGCATTTGCACTCTCCAATCCCGAGCAG